GCTAGCATGGTCATTGTATCGGTCATAAAATTTACAAAATGTTGACTTTAAACGAGACTGCAGATATCCTTGTATCATCAACTTATATGTCAATACATGTAGCTTGCCTCGTTTTAGAAATTGTTCAACTGGGAACATAAATTCCATACGCAGGTGATTATGGTATATTGCTACATCAATAAATTGAGGAAGTTGACGATATAATTAAAAGTTGAAGTCATCAAGCTCATCATAAAGTTTACTTGTGAGTTTGCCATTAATGTCTTTCTCTTGTAAGATATCCAAATATGTAACAGAAGTGTCAGACTCTGTCAGAAGTGTCAGACTCTGTGCATCGTCGGTAACCCACGAGTGATTCACATCGATTCTCTTTAGCTTGTGGACTCAAAACTGTGGTTTGCGACGATGGACTCTGTGGTGTCTTTTATTTCGGGTTCTAAGAGACATATCGAATCAATGAAAACAGGAACGAAAATGAATATTGTTCATTGATAAAACGTCATCGATATATCTAAATGTCAAACTGAAGGCCATAGCAAGAGACTTCTTCGTTTCATGTAAGTTTTGGAATAAATTCTGTTACATATATCTGTTTAAAAAACAGCTCTGCTAATAACAAGGCGCAATTAGAACCCATGGGAATTCCAACAGATTGTTGGAAGGCCTGATCTTCAAAAACTATGTATAAAATTTCAAAAGCTGTGTTTTGTAATTTCAAAAGCTGTGTTTTGTACTTTTTCTTTCATATCAAATTTATTAGTTCTTCTTAAAGCTGGAAAGAACTCGTAAATGGGCATACGCCATATTAGTTTTCGTATATTAGCTCTTGGGTATACCCTTCGATCGCATTCGTTACATGATTGCTTTCTTGTCACGGATACCTGTACGGAATGGACGACACGTGGCCCAGTTGGTTGTCTTGCACTACCTTTGTTTACATTTTAATGCAGTTTACCTGTGTTTGTGTTTGTTTTTACTGCACTGACCCGTGTAACTGATGTCACATGTCAGTCTTATTTCTCCTTAGGTAACATGCAGTTACTTTTGTCGCTACCGAGTATGGCACGCCAAATTTACAAAAATGAGTAAAACCTAGTTTCACAATTGATAAACTAGGTTTATCGACTGTAAACTATAGTTTACAAATCGTAAACTATAGTTAACGATTCGTTAAGTATAGTTTTCATCTGTAAAACTATATTTAACGGTTGTTAACTATAGTTTACGAATGCTAATCTAAGTTTATCTGTCTGTAATAAGCGTTAACAATAGATTTTGTTGATAAACATAGATTCACGTTTGTAAACTATAGTTTACAATCGTAAACTATAGTTTACAATCGTAAACTATAGTTAACGGTTGTTAATCATAGTTTCACAAATCGTGAAACTATATTTATCAGATCGTTAACTATAGTTAACGGTTTGTAAACTATAGTTTACAAATCGTGAAACTGTATTTATCAGAAAATCTATGTTTTGCAATCGCAAATGATTGTTTTCGGTGTTAAGTATAGTTTACGGTTGTGAAACATAGATTATCGCGTTAACTATGGTTTACAGATGTGAAATATAGATTAACGTTGTTAATTATAGTTTACAATTCGTAAACTATAGTTTACAACCGATAAACCTAGTTTATCGATTGTGAAACTATGATTATCTCATTTTTGTGAATTTGGCGTGCCATAACCGAGTCTTTTTTTTTTTTTTTTTTTTTTTTTTACTTGCTATGTAGAACCATCTATACAGGTATATAGACTGAAACGCGTATTACACTGAACCGTTACCAAGTGAACGGCTTATACACATATGATGTAAAGTTAAAAGAAATATAGCGGATAAATTCCTTTTACGAATCGGGATCAGCTTTAAGGATCTTCATTTTGCACACGATAACTTTTTTAAATCGACTACATATTCTGCTGTTTTTCTTCTCAAAAATTACATGTCGTGGAACATTAATGTACCAGGTCTCGACATATAGGGATACAAAGGGTATTCGACACCTGCTAAATGTTACCCCAGGGACCTATAGTATATAGGTCCCTGGTTACCCCCATCTGTCTGATCAATCAAAAGTTACATAAACCTGGCCGTGTGCGGACAATAGTTACCATGGTTACCTAGTGTAAATAAAACTTTATTTTCAAATAAATCCATTTGGTGAAATAAAATACATATATATCACAAAACGAATCCGGAAGAGTAAAATGAAAATAATTTTTCGACCGATAGTGAAATATTAATCAATCTCATTTACATACATTAATACATACATCATAATTTCATGATAAGGCCTTACAACTGTTCTTTGCTCATACTGCAGTCCAAAAATTAAAACGCTTACAAATATATTTAACAAAAGAAACCCATTACCCTGATCTAACATTACATCAGTAGTTAAATAACCTGGACGTCTCCGTTTTCGGAGGATATCAAAATTCAATATGGCGGCCATATTTTTACCAACATTCTCTATCCCGCTACGCTCCCACATACACCTCTGTCAACGTTTGTTATACAAGATTCTTGGAAAAATTGTAAATGGTGAAAAATTGTGTTAATAATCGATTTTAGTTATATTTCTCATCTGAAAACAGGATTTATTTTAATCCATTACCCTTTAAAAGGATTTTTTTAAATTAAGTTTTTAGTCCGCAAAATATATAGTTCGATCCCTTAAAACTTTAGACATATTTTTTTTAGGGGTGATAGATTTAAAATAAATGATTAATTATTATCTTTATCGATAATTAGAATAATTAATTACCATTTTAATTTTAAATTTTCACCGTTTAAAACTTGTACAAGAATCTTGTACAACGAGCGTTGACAGAGGTGCATGGAGCGTACGTATAGCGGAAGACAACTCTGGATAGAGAATGTTTTACCTATGGAAAATCGCATTGTTATCCTCGGATTTCGGAGGATAACACGGGTAATTTTCAAACTCCCCGTGCTTACATGTACCTTTAATGGAAAAGTGCATGCATATTTTCTTTTAATTTTATAAAGGAGAAAAAAAAGAAACACAAAAGGAATTTAGGCGTATTTAAACCCCAAATTAGACCCTGTCTTATTAATATAGGATCTCCCATGATTATACTCGTTGTGTGTTTTTATCCCCTCGCCAAGGCTCGGGGATAAAAAAAAAACACACAACTCGTTGGATAAAAATCATATCCAACTACAAATCATGGGAGATTCTTTTTATCCCAACCACAACCAATGTTTTACACTGTTTTATATGTAGGACACCACTTTATTTTACTTCATCACGCTAACGCTAAAACCATTGTGACGTCACAAGTGCACTTAACTGTGGAATATGAAAAAATTATCCAATGAGTCATATCCACGGGATAAAGGGGTAAACATGGGATAAAATAACTAAGCTAATGAAACAAGAAATGAATGAATCATTATAAAAAAGAATAAATAAATAATAATTTAAATAGCATAAATATATAAAATAGATAACATATTTAAAGAGAAATTTTCATGCAAAGAATTATATAATTAAATAATTTATAAAGAAAATACTGAATGATGGGCTTAAGAATAATTAAAGAATAATTAAATGAATGAAATAATAAATGATTACAATTAAACTTGAGCTTTTTTTTTTTAAATCGTTTCATTAAAATTCCTAAACTGCTAGCTTCATTAACACATAATTACTGTATGAGTTAATCAGCGTACTTAAATATAATTAACCTCACGGGCAGGTAAGAGTAATTGTTATGGTAAGCTGTAAACTGATTAACGAGTGACAGCAATACACAAATACATGTATTGAAAAATATAGATCCTATGTCTAGACTTTTCAATCATTATATTTAGAAAATCTTTTACGTATATATTGTCCTGGTTTAGAAATCAGCGTAATGTTCATAAATCCAAGACTTTTCAATCATTATATTTAGAAAATCTTTTACGTATATATTGTCTTGGTTTAGAAATCAGCGTAATGTTCATAAATCCAAGAGTTACTGTTCTTTGTTTCCTGAAGAGTTCACTGCCCTTTGTTTTGAAAATGCCAATGCTATCGGGATAAAATCTATGATAAAAAAAAGCAACAACAGATTTTCAGATTTTTATTAACATACATCTTATGTAGGTATAAAAACATTATAAACACAGTACACAATTTGATAGAGCATTTCATATGAGCAACATATGTGATGTAAAAATAATTAAAGCATTTTAAATCCAGCAGTTCATTTCCAAATTTGTTTGCAAAAAATATATATTTTTTCCAAGGTTGCACATTTCCTTTGTATTAATTGGTCAACAGTTGTATTAGGTTATAATAAACACTTGGGCGACATAAGTAATTTTTTTAAATGTACTTTTTTCCTCAAATGTTCGTATTTTAAGCATTTTTATAAGAAGGAAATCAAATTCATCTTCTAAATCACCTGTAGAACAAATATCCTCCAAAAAAAGGGGTCGCCTAGACTTGAGACACAAATAACAATATGTTATTGTGTTTTTGGACCAAAACTGTCATTTATACGATTAAATCATTTCATCACCTAATAGGGATGGAATCATCAAAAGATTTGTAATGTTTAATGGCCGTTCACCTTTATAGATATAGGGGCTAACTAGGCTTAATTTATTCACAAAGACGAACATTGAAATCCATGCACTTCCTCATTCACTCCCTGATTATTCATAAAGAAAGAGATTTAGCCATTTAAGGTGCGACAGGGGCCTATAATGTGTTTAATTTTCTCAAAATATACGATGTAAATTTTTATATAAAATTATATACTATATAAACCATGCCAACTGTATTGCCCTTAGGCCTCATACTTTTAAATATGATTGGAATTGTTGTAAAATTATTTCCACCTTCAACATTTTCACGTAAAAACATGGTTTTACAATCTTTTAAAAAGCTCTTCTTGCACAACGTCATGCTTTTTAAAGACAGGTCAGTGTTGTGACGTCATCGTGCAAGTGGAGAAGGCGAAGGTTTATATTTTGGCCGCCATCTTGGTTTCCGCTTAGAGCGAGGGGTGGTGAATAAATTGGATGATTGCTAACTTATTTCGCAGTGGACAAAGGTAAAATTTGGCGCAGATAGGATTGATTCTTTGGAGCAAATAATCAGGTAAAAATTATTTATTCAGAATGAATATTTATCAATAAATACTTGAACAAAGTCGAGCACTCGCGGTTTAGCGCCATTGTGTACAAGGTTGAAATTCATCGTTAAAGAAAAATTGCCTTTATGTCTTGTACAAAACAGATATTGGATACGATGTCATGAATATAGTCTGTTAAATTATTATGATTTAAATCGTGTATTTAAAAAGGAATTAGAACAAAGACGTTTCATCGATGACGTAAATACAACGCGATTTGACTTCGACGTTAAGTTCAACTTTCACTTTCTGTTCTCAACACTTTTCACTTACAGACTGATTAACATTTTGCATCAACTTAACTTTACATGATATTCTTTGCTAAAAATTTATGCTTTTACAAAAAATTATCTACAGATTACCTGCATGATAATTTTTTTTGGTACACAACAAAAGTTGATGGAATGAATGAGTTCACACTGCTATGTGGCCAAGAAATCCTTGGCTGAAATTGATCAAGTAAAACTTTGTTGACACTTTGGCCTCTATAGTTATTTTCAGTGCAAATCCTTTTGTTTGTTTTTTTTTGTCAAAATCGTTTCGGAGTGGATCCGCTCCAGATTGCTACACTGCAACTTTATGGGTAGTCTGAAATATCTGTCGTTTTCTAGGCATTTTCATGATTTTTAATATTTGACGTTCTAGGAAAATGGCACCATTATGAAAAGTGGAAATTTTACCGCCCAAAATGAACCCCATTTTCAATACTTACAAATTGAATTAATTGTCAAACTTGCAACTTAATTATCAAAAGTACAATACTTCTAGTTCTTACTAAAATGTCTCAAAAGAAATTATCACTCCACATTTCGGTACAAGTCTCATGAGATTTCAAAATAGGCTGAGTATTGGCTAGAGAATTCATATTGTGAAATTTTTGAACTGTATTGAGATATGTATTGCAATAATTTTTTAACTGTATTGTGATATGTATTGCAATGTTAATTTTACATACATGTAGAATGTACATAACTATGATAAATAACCACTAAAAAATATCTTGTTGATTGAATTACACTTATACAACTAAATACACCCATACAAGTCACAGCTTTTGTATTTCTGTTTGGCGTGATCGCAAACCTTTCTCTTGCAATAATTTTAACTGTATTGTGATATGTATTGCAATGTTAATTTTACATGTAAAATGTACATAACTATGATAAATAACCACTAAAAAATATCTTGTTGATTGAATTACACTTATACAACTAAATACACCCGTACAAGTCACAGCTTTTGTCTTTCTGTTTGGCATGATCGCAAACCTTTCTGACAACTTTTCTGTATATTTTATGATAGAATTCCTGAGCCCAATCATTTTGCCAGTATATCGGTATTTCAAAAACATATTGCAATACGATAATTTTTGTCAACATACCGCAATATACCGGAATATCAGTATAATTCTCCAGCCCTATTTCAAAATGCACGAAATCAGAACAGACCTCGACAGTTTGATAAAATGATTTTTCCAGACAATATATATTACAAAGGAACAATAAAAGCGATTGATAAATCTCTAAATTCCGCCCAAAATATACAACTAATGCAGAGCTATTTACTATTTTATTCCAGATTTAGGTTTCAAAATTATATGGATTTCAGATTAAAAACCTTTTGAAATTACGTCTCATAGTTAAGCTCCGAAATTTTTAAATTTTTTTTTGAATTTTATTATTATTATTTTTTTTGGTCTTAAAAATGTTTTTGCAGCAGTCTATGCGAAAGTCTAACAGGGGTGTGCAATTAGCATCGCCCGACGCCCGGGGCTACCATTTTTTGGGGTCGGGCTAGTAGTTTCCTGCACGGAGGTAGCCCCTTGGGCTAGTAAAAATTAAAACTACAAATGTAACACATGAAAATCAATATCGGTATTTTCACTCATTTTTTGCTATTAAATTCTCAAGCAATGAAAAATTTTCGGCAGCATGCTCCTATTTTTTGTAAATCTCTTTAATCTTATCAATTTTGCAGTACCACCTGACTTATTTACTTCCAAAAACGATCGTTTTTATCTAATCCGAATTTCCTCTATTCCTCTGTTTATGGTAAATCTCATTAAATTATTTGCGACCACTCAATCAACTGAAAGATAAGTGTTATGTGGTTTACATAAAATATATTTCCAGCAAATTTAATGATTTAAGATGAAAAAAAAAAGATTTTCATTTCATTTTAGATAAGATAATTTATTTGAATTCATTAGCCGGGCTTTGCTGAAAGCAAAGTCCTGGCTGTAGGCATCGTGATCGACTGCCTTACTATAAATAGCACATGTTCAGAAAAGTAAACAAAAAGCCTAACAGCGTCAAAGCAGACGCTTCCGATAAACAAAATAGTCACATTGAAAGACGATACTTAAACAAATATTTTTTACATCTCAATCTACGGAATTGTTTATTGATCAATATTTTTGTTTGAGAATTAAATTGAAAGAGGAATTAGATATTTAGTTTATTATTACCGTGATATAACAATTTGTGCACATATGCTACTGAATGCATATTGTAAGCGAACTATTTTCAATAAGCGCGGGCTTTTCGACAGGTTGCCTATACTTCATATCGTTTTCGTCGATGTCATGTGAGTGGTTATATTCTCTGTTTTGTCTTTCAGCAAATAAATAGATAAGTAATTGGAGTTTAAAGAATTAATGTGCGTTATGCCTGAATTAGGTCGCATGACAATTGTACATGGTGTATCTGGTGTATCTAGTCGGCGATAAAAGTAGTGTTTGTTTGAAACTTTAAGAATATCTCTAAAAATATGTGCATTTCTTTAACTATGAATTACATAAATTATTAAACCAATATGAATTTAATTTTTTCTCAAATTAAATTCTAATTCAAATCTATCTAAAGAAAAATCAGCAAACCATATGGTTCAACATTCTTTTAAAAAAAAGTTTGGCAATTGACAGGCAAACATTTTTTGTAAAAAAATTAATTGCTTTCTTAAAAGTTAAAATTAGTGACCTTAAATGTTTAAATTAGTGACATTAAATAAAACAAATGACTTATATATTCCCCTCACTAGCCATATGTTATTGGTAGAATTAAAAAAAAAAATGTATGACATTTTTTGTTCGTTTACTGATATTATAGTATAATTAGTCTGACCTATATTTATTTACGTCCGTGATGCATGTATAAACAGTAAGCCCACTGACAATGTCGTGATATCTGTAATTGTTTTTTTTTTTAAGATCAGTATAGCATTAAGGTGTCTTGAATGGCAAGAAATTTAATGTAATAATGAATTTTAAAAACATCGGTGGTCATTTATCAGATGTAATTTGGTACGATACCGTGTTAATTCCTGCTGATATTTTCAGGGTTGATCTTGTGAAAACGGCTTAACAGGAGACAATTTATTAAAATTTTCCTTTCAAAATAATTGCAAAAAGATGATGATTTTATGATTATATTAACGGCATAAAATAACAGCGAACACCGACTACTTGCAGCAAACAAGTGCGCCGCCATTACGAATTCGTAAAACAAAGAGACAGTTACGGATACTCGTAATTTTCTGAAAAAAAAATGTGTAGGAGGTCAGTCGAGTATAACCTGAAACAAACAAATTTTTTTTAGCCTAATGATGTATGTATGTAAATATTCATGAAGATTAATCTTACAGTTGTAATACTGGTAATGCTGAAATGTTTTCAATATATATATTACTACTCAAATAAAAAAAGTTAAGATTTGAATGCGTTTAAAGAAAAGGGTTTGAAAATACGGTATTACTTCGATAACCCTGAATGCAATTAAAATAACTTTCTCCTTTCTAATAAATAATTTCGAACAAAAATCCTTATGATGGTAAAGATCTTGTGTTTGTTTGTTTGTACATGTATGTTGTTTAACGTCCCTCTCGAGAATTTTTTCACTCATATGGAGACACTACCACTTGACGGTGGAGAGCTCCAAATTTTGTCCTATACTCGGCACTTACGGCCATTGAGCAGTGAGGGATATTTTTCGTGCAAGCACCTATTGCGACACGGGCCCTCGGTTTATACGGTCTCAACGGAAGGACCGGTCTCCACGTCCCACAGTGGGATTCGAACCCGCGACGTAAGGATTAACTCCTTACTTCGCGACTCTAGAGCAGACGCTCTTACCACTGCGCCACGCGGGCGACTAAGATCTTGTGTAAAGGTGATGTAAATGAAGTTCAAAACTATTTGTTTTCTTTCATAATATGAAATCAATGTGATTCCATTTGGTTAATATTTTAATTTAATAGTATTAATTTAAATGACTGGGATAAAGATTTATATTCTGTGAAGCATGGCATATAAATAAATAAAAATGTAAACTTTAAGATATAATTTCATGTGAATATGTTTATGTATAATATATAAATTATTTATACCCATTTAACAATCAATTTAGCGTCGAAAATTTTTATGCTTACAAATTCAGATCAAATTTTTAGTGAAAAGTCAATGGTATGTTTTGAATGTGAAAATTTTGTTCGAGACTTCTCACCTTGGATTCATCTCGCATGTGCTCCCAAAGCGCTTTACAGTATATTGAGCGTGCGCGCGCATTCCAAAAAAAAAAATTGGTCTTAAAACATATGCAAGCTCTCAAGGGTGCTGGGAAATAAAAATCGTTTATGTTAACATATAATTTAAAGAAAACAACATATAAAAATGTTCATTAGTCTTTATCTAAGTACAACACATTATAATTTTTCAGAAAAAGTTGGTTAGTCTTTGCTTCAAAACTTCCTGTTCAGAATGAAGAGCCATCTATGTACATAAAGACCTGAATACATCATGATTTTCTCAGGCAGTGACCATTATGGCCGAACCTGGAACTAGAACTAGACTCATATTCATGACATAAAGATTAGATAATTATAATTTTCGTGCAGCTGGTTTCCTAGAGGACCAAAAATCAAGAATATTTCTTTTGCTGATTAATACAGGCATGTAGTATCATTATCAGAAAAAGGAGAATTGTCTAAACCCAAAAAATCCTATTCCGTTGGAGAAGGAGTAGGGGTGGGCTACAACTTACTTTCACATTTCGAATTTCATTAATTCATTACCAAATTACCGTACTTTTAATATGCTACAATAAAATGATGGGTACAATCTAATTAAGATTAGACTATCCATTTTGCTTTTAGTAAATCTGTTCGTCGCTCATGATAAATACCTGGTTTATATTACGAAGAGTGAGTTGAAAGTTCCAATTTAAATTTGATTGCGAAGAGTCAATCAACCTTTCAATGTACATTGTCCATTGTAAAAGTTTATGTTTGAAAAATGGTGACAACCCTAGCTCCTCCGATACTATGTGCCTGTATGAATCAGCAAAACCACTCAAAGTGCACTGTTACCATGCATAACCATTGTGAGCTTAATGTTTAGAAAGGTATAAATGTATTTTCATTAAAAATATCACCAAGTCCTATCCTGGGGTCTTAACGTTGGGTTCTGGACCGTAAATTTTAATTATTGGTAGATGGGTTATTGTTAATTATAATCATACAAACTCGACCTGTTAAATATCAATGGTCAGAAAGAAAGATTTTCAAATATGTACTAATTTAGGATTAGACAATACACTCGAACATATTAAAGCCCGGCTTTCAGTACTTTCAGTACTTTGATTTTTATTTACTATCATAATTATTTATTTATACATGATTTAATTTTACTAGTGAGAATTAAACTTAGTGAGAATTAAACTTTAATTTTAAAAAGAATGACATTAAAACCCTGACTTTTTCAACAATAAACTATTTTCTTTTAATATTAGTTTTTACTACTCCCCCCCCCCCCCCCCCCCCCCCCCCGGGCCCCCTACATTTGGGCTAGTAACTTTTTACTTGGGGCTAGTAACTTTATTGCTGCCACTAGCCCGTGGGCTAGTGCTTAATTTTTTTAATTGCACACCCCTGTCTAAAATTTTTACAGGACATAAGGTCTGGTAAAATTATATATTTTACCAGACCAAGCAATTACTTACCAGACCGAACTCTTTTCTTTAAATTCAATCAAACATCATTATGACACAGAGATTGAAAAAAGGAGGGGGGATTCTCACTGTTAAATTGAACCTCAAATAGATCCAGATTTGAGATTATAAAAAATTATTTTATTGAAATGAACAAGGTTACTATTAATAGTTTTCCTTTTTTAAAGGTAATATACAATTCCATACAATTTTCTCTTTTTCTGGTTATTTGACACAAACAAACAAAATACACATTGTCAAAGATTTTTTTTCAAAAATTAAAATGCACTTTAAAATTTATGTATTTCTTTCCTAAGGTAACTCATTACGGTAACTTTAGTTTAATAATGAAAATAATTTCACCCAACCGAATCTGCGTATGAGCTATCTATAGATCTATATTCCATGACAGAGGAAATTCGAGTTAAAAATAAACGATCATGACATGATTCTTCTAGATTAAAATTAATCATGTATTACTGCTAAATGGATCAAATAAAGGATATGTGTGGAGAATAAGACCATATGTACATGTAAATTCAGATTTTTAGGCCTTAATTTTTCATCGTACAATTGGTCCTGTATCCTGAATTTTTTTACCGACCCAAACCAAATTTTACCGGTAAAAACCAACGGTCCGGTGACTTTTGCATAGACTGCACAGTCCAAAGAGGTTATATTATGGACAAAAACATTTACATTACTGAAAACTGCAGATGTTAAGGAGATAAAAAGAAGTGCCTAGTTGTTTTGATGTGTATAACTATATAAATTGATCAAAATATTATGTTTGATGATTTGATGGTTTGGTGGAGTGCAATTGTATTTATCAGTGGATAACATCAAAAACCTTTATATACACTTAGATCCACAACTTCATACACTGGAAGGTTTAAGGTCAGACGCATGCAGTCAAGACTGTCGCGTAAAATTTTTATGTGATAGTAGTACTTCCATGACGGAGTCTGAATAGTGCAAATTTTTATGGAGGCTCATTACACCACTTTTGATGACATACTACACAGAAAAATAAACCTTTTTTTCGTCCGTTTTCTCCTGGCCCGGACGAATTGTACAGGTTCGCTTTGCTGATGATCTAAATCTTTAAAACGCTCTAAAAATAGACTACATGCGATGTTGTAAACAATGAGAACAAGGTAACAGATTCATTATACATCACAAACGAAGAAGGGTTATTTTTAAGTAGAGACCAATGAGAATGACAGTAAAATCTTTGCTACCCAAGTAGTGTACAATGTCATGGTGAAAGCAGCAAGTTCCACCACTGACATACACGTTTAGAGGAAATTCGAGTTGAAATCTACAACCTCGTTGAAATAAATTATAATTGACTTGAGCTTTTAGAGTACTCTACTCTTGTTGGTTTGTGTGCTTGTCTTTATTTCTTTCAAAAATGTATATTTATTCTAGAAATTTAAGCTTATTCTGAATCTGATATGTTCAACCATTCCTAAGTGTTTTGAGTTCGGATTTAAGAAAGATAACTCTTGCAAGTGGACTTTTTATTCCAATTATTTTTTAGATTGGAATTTTCATTTCCTTAAAACATTTTTCATTCAATTTGTTACTTGTTATTCATCAATATACTTTCCTTGTCTATTTATAACTGATTTTCTAAATAATTCATGCAAAGATTAAGAAGAAAATCACATTAATTCTTTTTTGGGAGAAAATTTTTTTTTCTAATAAAAAATAATATTGAATATTATGAAGTGTTATTGCTTACATATCTGAAGATGATATCCCTCACTTGACATTGAGATTCCTGCAATACTATCATTCAGAAACTTGAAATAAAACATAACCAAAATCAGAAAAAAACGATTAAAAAATCTTTAAAAAATATTTAAAATATTGTATTATAACCTCCATTTGGATATTTGAAATCTTAATATTAAGTGGCCCTGTAATGAAATCTAAAATAAACTGTGGGTGTAATGAGCCTCCTTAAATGGATGTAAAATGTAGGCAGGAATCGAGAATCAGCATGCATAGTTCTTTTATTATTATCTTGTATTGAAAAGTCAACTTTGTTGGTCAGTAAGGATTTTATGTATTAATTTGTAGACAGACATGATAAGTACTGATGTATTTGTAGACAGACACGATGATTACTGATGTATGTATTTGTAGACAGACATGATGAGTACTGATGTTTGTATTTCTAGACAGACATGATGAGTACTGATGTATGTATTTGTAGACAGACACGTTGAGTACTGATGTATTTGTAGACAGACATGATGAGTACTGATGTATTTGTAGACAGACATGATGAGTACTGATGTATGTATTTGTAGACAGACATGATAACTACTGAAGTATGTATTTGTAGACAAACATGATGACTACTGATGTATGTATTTGTAGACATACATGATGACTAGTGATGTATGTATTTGTAGACAGACATGATGAGTACTGATTTATGTATTTGTAGACATGATGACTATTGATGTATGTATTTGTAGACATGATGACTACTGATTTATGTATTTGTAGACATGTGACTACTGATTTATGTATTTGTAGACATGATGACTACTGATGTATAGAGGAGGCATGGTAGTACAAGTTGAAGGACAGCAGGGAGTCAACAAGATGTTGACAGCAGAGTTACCTTCCTTGGAGGTGGATACAATGACACAGGTATTGTTTGTCTAAAAAAATTGTCTTGGGTGGAAGTATTGGTTTCTTCTAGATAATCAAAGGTTCAAGGCTTGATGTTTTTATCCACATGTCTAGTACCAGTGGAAATTTTTCATGGACAAATGAATATTGCTGAGCACTTTTCTGATTGGACAAGTGATTTTTCTGTGAAGAATTTTTTTTAAAGTTGAAAATGAAGAAAACTAAAACTTTTTATCAACTTTTAATTAAAAGCATGCAGTGTGTTAGTAGCTTTGATCCCAATCATAATATTGATTTTTGATCCCGGTCATCAAACTTGATTGAGACAGGGATTGACATTAACGGTTGTCCGATTGCCCGGGACAAGTAAATTCTCAGTTCGGGCAAGTGAACTTGTAGACGTCGTACTTGTCCGATCGGGCAAGTGAATTGTTCTCATACATTTTAATGTACATATTGATTTAGTTTACATTAATTAATAAATAAAACAATAAATTGAACACCTGATTTCCGTCACGCACCTGACTGACAATGTTTTTGCATTTGAAATTCCATGGAAGCGTTTCTGGATTATACCGTTCATTTAAAAATCGGGTTCGTTATTTTCTTTCGTAATAAATATGCTCTATGTCTAACAAAATTTTATTAACTTCTAATTAGGAAATTAGATTATTTATTTACGCACAGAATATATAAGTACAGTATAACACGATGTATCCTGATCAAGATAAGATGTATGTTTCGTAGCAACTATCTTCCTTAAGCGTTGCTTCACAGTTACCTCTGAAAATAACGAATCACGAAAGGATCCTACCGAAAATAATTTTTTAATAAAATATTAATTTTATTAAAAGGAAATGGAGGGTTAATGCTGCATGGCAGTACGTGTTAACAGGTTAAATTTTGCAAGTACAGCGGTATACATTTATGTACAAATGCAGCATCGAAATTTTTTTTCAGGTAGCTCAACTTGCCAAATTGACAGTTGTGTATTTGGTCAGATTTTTTCTTAATATCGTAACGTCTACAGAAATTAATAACTTTCTTCTTAATTTCTTTCCTAATTTTGGGCAACCAAGTTTAGCATTCGGACAAGTCAAAGTCTAAGATCACTTGGCCGAAGGGCAAGTGGATCTGAAACTTAATGTCTATCCCTGTTGAGATTGAAGTTCTTAATGGAGGCATTACTTTTAGTTTTGAACTTTTATTAGTTGCATGGATCTGATGAAGTTTGGGTTTACATTTTCAATAACTAAAGAAAACAATGACGTTAATAAAAAGTGTTGGAGAAAAAGGCAAATAAACGTTTATTGTTGAACCTATTTCTTGTTGCTATTTTTCTATTATCAATTTCTTTTGTTAGAACATCTTAGAAAGGATGATACATTTTAGCTTCATAATTTGCTATATGTGTTAAAAATCAGTGACTATATTATAGATTCTATTTTTCAAGTTGTCAAATAGTTCTTTTTTGAAAAAATTTCAATTTCAAGGTTAAAAATTAATGTTTGGACAAGTAAATTTCCCAGTCACTTATCCGACTGGACAAGTGAGAAAAAATACAGTGTACAGTCCTGAGATGGAAACGATAAGCATGCACAGATCTAGAAGGGAAGGAGGGTTTCATGGGGATTCTCTCCCCCCCCCTTCCAGGATCTTTAGATTTTTTTTATAGCTGTTTCTAGCTTTGTGAATCTTTTAATCTTTGATTTTGATACTCAGGTCCAGTTAACGGAGGTCATTCCTAACTTAGTGCAGCTTTCCACTGGGAGAGAACTGCCCTTGTTTGGTCAAAACCAGTTCAAGCCGGAGTGGTGGCCCAGTGAAACCCCGTGGGTGGATCCAGGCTTAGAGGAAAATCCACAGGAGGTAAGAACTAGGGGCAAGTACATTTGTGGTTGTGTTGATGCCTAAAATCCAGTCTTTGTTCTCACTTATCTTCACTGTTTCATATGTGCAGAATATGCATATTGTAAATCACTTTTTGTTAGCTAGAACTTTATTTTCGCGTAATTATGGCGAGTCTGTCTGCTTGCGAAAATTTTATTCTTGCATCTGTTTGTTTTGTTAAGGATTATATACAACAGAAACCACAGTGTGCGAAAGTTTTGTCTTGCTTTTAAATATCGAATATCTATCTCATGAAAATAAGATGTCGCAAAAAATTTAGTAATCTACAGTAGATATTTTTATGGAGAAGAGCTGATTCCTATCTTTAGAGAACCATGGAATTCAAATTTTACACAGAGAATAGCTGAAATATTACATTGAGGAAAATTATAGATTAATTTAAATCAACACATAGCAGCATAATATTTCTGTTACTTTCTGTTCACAAAAGTCTTTTAAAATGGTTATGGTATTTCTTCATTCACCATTATGTAGGACCAGTTGGAGCTGTTGAGAAAGGTGGTACGCTCCTGCTATAAACATCTAGGTCAAGAAAAGCTTCTGAATGAATCAGATTTACAGGTGGATGTCATGGAGACAGAACAGGAAGAAAATCAACCAACAGAGACCCGGCCAGAGGACTCAAAGTGGGAGGGGGGTGTAACTGATGCTCCCCCTACACAGGGCTCAGGTAATAAAGGCACAGCCAAATACAGGATTCATAAAAAAATTCCTTAGAACCAAGCTTTCTTTTTAAAGGAGTTTTTTATAACTGAGTTTTACTGTAATTATCTGCGACTGTACAGTGATTGTGTCTAGAAATATCACAGAAGTAAAAAAAAAAATCTATCAAGAAAATTATAACAACTATGATTTACTGCAGAGTTTTTGTTCAGTAAGTAGAAATTTCTGTTGCCATGATTACAGCGGCTGAGACGGGGGAATCCCCAGCTAATGATGCCCCCATCTGGATCTGTTTCCTGTGTACCAAACAGTTTCGAGACCAGGAAGTGCTGATGGAACACCAGGAGGAATGTGAAAAAGAGGCTGAAATTCAGGAGGCCCGACAACGTATTCTGGAAATCCAAAGGCAGCAAGAACTGTTACTGAAAATTGAAGTAAAGGTATATTTTTTTCAGCGTCGGTTCTATTGCTTTAAGAATTTGAATTATGTGGATTAAAACCAAAACCAAGTAACAGAAGAGCTGAAAAAAATGTTTGTGGATTGAATATCTGTATACCATAAATACAATTGAACTTCAGTATCTCAAAACATTGATATCTTGATTGCATGGATTTTTTCAAAATGAATAAGTCTTAATTTAAGGTAGTCCGATCCTCAGGTTCTGAAAATCGAGAGTTGAGTAATTGAAAATGCTTACAAAAAGGTCTCTGAATTCTCAAAATACTTAATGTGTATTTACCCAAGGTATTTCTTCAAAGTTCATCATTAATCATATTATATAGGGACAATTATTAAATTTCAAACACTATATTTTCAGGAAATGCCAATCAAAGTACCCACTATGCATTTTCTGAAAGAAAATTGATCAACAAATATATTTTGTGATTAAAAATTATAGGTATCCAGGCATAGGGAGAAGATTGCATGTTTTTCATACTTATTTAGTACTTTAGTTCTTCTAATTAGAGCAACTGATATAAAATACATAGTGTAAAATGATTATATTATCATTGTAAGACATCACAAATCACTTCTTATTTCATATCAAGCTAATAAACATTGGCATCTAAGGCTAGATTAAAGGAAATTCTATTTTTATAAAAATGCATTATCTTTGAAATTCATGGGGGTACAAATGTCAATTCTTTACAAGACCGTTTCTAAGACTTCAAAGAACCTTGAATCATACTGAAATACATGAAATGAAAATTGTTGCACAAAAATATTACAATTTCAAGCTTTATTTTGAGACTTTTAAAATTAAATAATAATTTTAAGAGGAGTTATCCTTCCTGGCTGAGGATCGGATATCCTTAAACCATTAAATTCATCAAGTGGAGCTACACTGTCATAACAGACTTCTTGTTTCGACATTTGCGAAGAGATGAATTTTTGAAAAAAAATATGCATATTGATGGATGTAAAATAATTTGTTTATTGCTTAAGTTACACATATTATGTTTGGTAATCTTTGAGTGATAGCAAATTTTTTTTTAACCTTATGATTTCAGGAAAACAGAAACTTTTTGAGATATCGCAAAAGGAGAAGGAGAATTCGATATTTAGACATAAATAGACGACCAGAAAAATCTGTGTTCATTGGACTCTTAGACTTGGTGAAAAAACCAGATGCTGAAAAATCATTGGAAGCTTCTCCAAAGAAGGAGGTGGATAGCGATTGTGAGATAATCGAGGTGTCATTTCCTGAGGCCCCCCGTACACCTCGAACACCGAAATCACTCATGTCTCAACTCAGTCGAGACTCAGAAGCACACTCAAGAAGGCGATGTCTCAGTTTTAGTGGGATGTTTAGTGATTCTGAGAGCGGAGAGGAGATGGAGAAGAAGATCTCAAAGAGTTCTCTTTTGTTTGGCATCGACATTACATCTGCTCTGGGACATAGAGTGAAAAAACACTTAAAGATTGACTCAACCATTCCTGTGGTCAAAGAATACGAAAAGTTTTGTGGTGGACCTGACAAGAATCAGTTCATGGAGAAACTTCGTTCCGAAAGGACTTATCCAATTGTGTACAAAAAACGCAAAAAGTTCTCCACGAAACACACGCACACATTCAAGTTTAATTCTGAACAGCGCAGAGAGTTTATGATCACAAAGAAAACTGGCCTGACCAAACGAAGCCGAGATTTACTGTGTCATCTCAAAGACTGTTCGGTAAAACTCCAACGACTGAAACCAGAGATTATTAAAGAATGGTGCCGACCCAAGCCAAAACCAATAACAAAACCGGTAACAAAGCCAGTATTTGTGCCTCGATACTCAATGAACAACCAGACTGCCACAAAAGTAGATTCCCATCTCCGACAGATTCTCAGTAAACCACTGTTTGGGCCTAAGAGTGCTAGAATTAAACAGATCAACGAAAATATTAACAGAATTCGCACAAGTCAGTCAATGCAGCATTATGATATGATCACCAAGGTTGTAACTAATCCAGACGGCACTGAAACCATGAAAGTTATTTATGTTCCAAAGAAAACCCAGGAGAGAAAGAGGAAACAGAGTTTTAGTCCATATAGGAAAGTTGTCCAAGAGGATGAAGACATTCAGATTATTGAGTTGTCTGACTCCTCGGACGACGAAACAGATCAGTCAAAACTGACTGAGTCACCCAGGAAGTGTCCACCTCAGATGAATCGTACAGTCAAACCGGGCACTCCACAATCTCGAACAGGTATCCTAAAACCAACATCAATGTCCAGTGAAAACCTTGTGGGCCGCAACAGTCCCATAATGAAAAACAATCAATTAAAACCACGAACAGGTGTGATTACTTATATGGGAATTAAGTACGATTCCCCGTCTGCGGTTCAGCAAGATGCCGTAAAGCGGCAACTCCACCCTACTCCTCCCGCAGCCACCACAATGAGAGAACTGCCACAAAAACCACAGCCGTCTTCCCAAGCTAGTCGTAACATTAGTTTTGGTCAAGTGGGTATCCCTTCAGCATTACGAATCTCAAACAGTCAAAGTGTACCAACAATGAAATCCATTCTGGATAAGAAAGTGATGCGAAACCCCATTCTGGAACAATTTTCAGGGGTTCTTGAGACTGTCCAAATAGAATCAAAACCTACTACCAACACTCCTGCCAAACCAAACGTCCTTCAGCGACCTTCTATAGCTATAGCTCCCCTAAAGTTAGTCAGCAATAAGCCAGAGGAGGCTATTGTAATTGATGATGAGGACTAGAGAGAAGGAATTACATGTCTATGTTTTTCATTGTGTTTTCCAGAAGGCATTAATTTTGATTTGATAAGCACAAGAAATATACTTCTTTGGTCACTAGTGACCACATCACTAAGTATTTTGAAAAAGTGTACATAAATAATGTATTGTAAAATTGATATCCAATTATGACAGATAGATGATTCCTTTCATTGCAATTATTTATTTTCAATTCAGTTTCAATAGACTTGTTTTATTAGAAAGTTTCGAGTGTAAATGAATTGTGTATATATATTAAATCCTGTTTGATACAGGATAGGTTAAGAAACCAGTTCCAGATCTCTGTATGCTATTTCCTGTATATTTATTTATTGATTCAATTTTGTGTTTTATGAGTCTTAGAGTTCTCTGCAATCATTTTTCCTCACCAAATCAACATAAATTCTTTGCTGTTTAAATAGATTTGTGCACTGCAGTTCCCAGGCCAGGGGTGATAATAATGTATTTTAATGTAACGATCAACACAGTTTGTTCAATTACAATTTTTATTTTATCAGCACTGTTTGCCATAACAAAATGCATGTACTGACTACCTCAGTTTCAAAGATCTTAGAATTTGTACACCAAGTAAAATGGATGCCAGATCTTAGACTTTGTACACCAAGTAAAATGGATGCCAGATCCCTTAACATTGCTTTATGGAGGGTCTCTTCCCTAGATCTGTTTGCAGTAGAATGGGTCACTGCTATAAAACTGATATCGAAGACAACTCGGGTCTTCCCCAGATCTGCTTGTAGTAGGTCAGTGCCATAAACTGTAATACTACAATAAGTAGGAGCCTCCCAAGATCTGCTAGATTGGGTCATTGCCATGAAGTAAAACATATCCAAGTCAACTCTGCTATAGGTAGGGTATTCCCTAGATCAGCTAGAATGGGTAAGTGCCATGAAGTAAAACTACTATTGGGAGGGTGTTCCTCAGATCTACTTGTAGTAGAATATGTCAGTGCTGTGAGGTAAAACTGACATCCCAATCCATAATGCTACTATAGGGAGGGTCTTTCCCAGATCTGCTAGAGTAGTTCAGTACCTTGATGTAAAATAGATGACCCAGTCAATAACACTACTATAAGGAGGATAATTCCCCAATCTGTTTGCCGTAGAATTGGTCAGTGCCCTGGGTTGGTACAGTCAAGTTTAATTAAGTTATGATTTTTTTTCTTCAAAAATCAGTTAAAAATTTTTTTACGATTTGAAAAATGTTCAGGTACATACCAGTGGTATTTTCTTTGTATACATAAAGATGAACTTGGTTTAAGTCATGCTGTGTCCTTAATGTTTAAGGACATATTACTTAATTATGACTTTTTTTGTACTATGATTGTACTTGATTGATGTGTTTATGTGAACTAAGGAGTATGAGAGATACTTACATTCATATAGTGACATTAAAATGAGACTTAAATTATGCAGTTTGATTGTATAAAATTTTGTATAAATTTTCAGATTATTTGTATAAAACCCTTCACTTTAATTGTGACGGTGATTCTTAAAGCAATTAAAATTTCACATAAACATTTGGTAGTATTTTATATTGAAAACAATGCCAGAGCTGCCAGCATCATAAAATGAAAAATCATGAGGAGGGGGTCCAGGGTCCTCTTAGACACCAGATTGCTGGTGATTTTTTGCTGAAGGCTCAAGTGAGCTTTCCTGATCAAAATTTTTCCGTTGTCTGTCGTCATCGTAGAAAACTTTTCATGTTTTCATTTTCTTTTACAGAATTACTGGGCCAAGTTCAACCAAACTTGACACATAGTATCCTTGGGTAATGGGGATATAAATTTGTTCAAATGAAAGGCCACACCCTTTTTCAAGGGGAGATAATTAGGAAATAATGGGTGGGGTCATTTATAAAGCTTCTCAAGAGCTAATGGGCCAGAAAAGATGGAACTTATATGTGAAGGCTTCCTGATATGGTGTAGATTCAGTTTTGTTCAAAACAGATCAGGGGTAGGGAGGGGCCACAAGGGGTAAGGGGAGGCCACAATGAGCAGAAATTTTTTTTATAATCTACTCAAGAACAGCAAAGCCATAAATTGTCATATTTATATGGAAGCTTCCACAGGTAGTGTAGATTCAAGTTTGTTCAAATAATACCCCTAGGGTTAGGTCACAATACCTGATTCAAGTTTTACATTGGAATTAGGGAAAAAACAGAAGGATGATAGTGACTTAGGTGAACATTGTGGCCCATGGGCCTCTTGTTCTAATGAATGGGTTTTTGCACTTTGTTTATTCAAAAATGATTTATAGTACAAGTTTGCATGGAAACTGATAATGACAATACAAGCAAGTGTAGTTAAGACTATGATTTTTTACGATAGTGAAAACTGAAGGTGGACAGCTACGAAAATTCTGGTATATTTCAATCTTTTGACTGAGAAAAATGGAAATCAGAAGAACGAAAAGAGAAACTTTATGTGCAAGGTGTATTTGTGACACTCAATCCATAAGCCTCATGCCAAAAGTGAAAGGCTTGGCAGCTCTGTAGTGTGAAGGTAATCTGGTTATTTTGAACGTATTACTGATGAGATAGAAAATGACTTGATTTCCTGTCGGGTGTGGATATGTAGTCCAAATGGCCATGGTGGTATGATGTGGAGGGCAGCCATGTTTGTTCACTAGTGGCCAGACAGTTCAGCTAGTAGAGCACTTGTCTAAGTTCAGCGGCAAGGGTTTGAATCCTGGTCTGGCTCATTGCATTCCCCCCTCTTCCTGTTATAACTTTCAGGGCACCAGCGTCTTGATGCGTAGCCCATGATACATGTATGTCACAACCATCCCAATAAATTTCAGTGAGGACATAAAATTCTTAATTTAAAACTTTATTAATCAATCCTGGTACATTTGAATTTATTTTGTAAATGGTAGGTAAAATGTCACAACTTGTAAAATTAATCACATACAAAATTTCTAGCCTATAAGTATTATTTAGATAAACAACCAAGGAAAGGATATAAAAACAATAACATACATTATGCATTACACATTATGCATTACACATAAATGTTATGTCAGTAATAACTAGTACATATTTTATTTCGGTCACAGATCAATCAAAAACTCACACATGTAAACAATGGTTAAATATTACAAAGATAATATCACAGATAGCAGCGCATGTTATTTTGAAACGGGTCAGATACCCTAATAAAGTCCTTTATATCTGTACTTTATAAGCACATCTTGCCTTCTTAATTTTAAAGCCATAGGCAGACATACATATTACAATCGGAAAGGAGAGGGCGTAATAAGTTTTAAAATGTGTACCCAATCCCTTTGTAATAGTAAATTACAATAAAATATGTTCAAATCAAACTGGAAAATGTTTAACACCCCCTCTGAAAGATGCATCAATCTCAGAAATATATATGTACTCTACTACCTTGATCAGTATTTTCACTTACTGAAAACATACTTTTTTCCCATGGGGGTCATTCTAGTCATGCTAGTAATTCTCAGAAAACATATTAATTTTTGTTCAATCCACAGATAGAAAATTGCTCTGATTTCTTATAGATTGCCACTATATGCCTAGGATGTACTTGAAGTATGCTGGGACAAATTACTACTGAAAATTGGTCAATATGTACATAGCATTTAAATAAATTCCACACAGAAAAAGTACTTTAACAGTATTTTTCATAACGAAAGCCGATGATGTTAAAGTTTCAAGCGTAGTTGGTTCATTACAAAATGGTTTACCACAAGCCAATGATGATATAGAAACAGGTACATTTTAATGCCCAGCATGTTAAGAACAATTTAATGCATGCTGAAATCCATACATCGGTTAATGTAATACTTAAGTCTACAAGAACAAAATGAAATTTGCAAATTCTAGAATGAAGAAATAAATTCACCACAAAGCATCACTACCCCGGACACTGTCATTGTATGATGGGGGAGGGGGTTCACTTCCCATTGCTGGGCGGTGTGCTCCAGGGCCAGGGGACTGATAACCCTGTCCTGGCCCCCCTCCTTGTCCCCATCCTGGGGCAGGCTGTGCAGTAGGTGTGCTTTGATAACCAGTAAATCCTGGGGCACTGGGAACAGTGGGGTTAAGTGAATATGGCAAGCCTTGTCCCCCATTATTTGGTTGATACGGGTCATCTCCTGGGAGAGTATGGGAAGACATTAGAACTTGGGTGTTTGCGTCTGTGACGACTGAGGAGGGGTAGTGCTGTCCTTTGTTGGTGCCGGCAGCGGGATGAGATTCGGAAGACACTTCCATTCCTACGCAACCTCCACACTGGATAAGAACGACAATAAGCACCAAGATAATTACAGCAGACACCACTACTGACACTGCTGTCAAGGTAGGCCAATCCCTGGGGTCTGAAATGTATGAGATCAAACTCAGTTTCTGAAATGTACGAGATCAAACTCTCAATGAATCTTATCTCTCAATACATTTAATAGGTTTAAGGACAGATGATACAGACAAATAAATGGATACTTGGATTGGTATATACTTTTGGACCTTTTTGGTTGTAAATGATGCAGATGATAATTTTTTAAAATATTAAGAAATTCTTAACTTACTATGATGTTCAAAATCCCACCTTTCTGTGACCATACTTAATATTAATCTATACAATTTTTTGTCACTTTAAATCACATTATTGTGAAACTTTGAATGAAAAATAAAAACATATATGCGGTTAAACTTATTCATTTAACATATATAAACATGACTTTAGTCTTTAGTTGTTATTTTCAAGATTTTTGATAAAAGTTGGTTTTTATCATCTGTCCTTATTGTATACTATTAAGAGCAATGTCAAAAATTTAGCCTAGTGCAAGGGATTAAAGATGAAAAAAAAAATCTATAACCATTATCAGTATCCCCCCCCCCCCCTTCACACACACAATTTAGTTACTGTTAAATACTTTACACTCATGTTAAATTTGGTCAATAATTACCAGTTTGGAAAGCTGCTACAAGAGGTAGGAACCATAAAAATGAGCATATAAGCCCTAGGTTCTGTGAGATCTTTATTCCAGTCATTTGTCAAAGTGTGCAGATTACATCTACAAAACATTACATATTACATTGTGGGTAATGATAGGTCTTCGGGTGAATTCTTATAAGTGAATTGAAAATGAAATAATTACTTATATTGCTTAAAGCGACAATATCTATGTAATAAATCTAAACACCTAAGCAAGTTCTGCGATTGCAAACACGAAAATGATTTATTACTAAAGATGATTATTTATCAAAGGACAAAAGGGAGGGGGGGGGGGGGCTTCTGTACTTACACTTAAGTTGAATCCACACAAGTTGAGTTGCTTTCTCAAAACGAAGCAAAGAAATACTTTTAAATACGCACAATTTACATGATTTACATTGCCACACACAAAAATGTTATTAAGCAATATGTACAGATAAAAATAGATTTGTTAAACCGAAAGTGCGCATTATCCACTACTTCCTCAAAGGGAAACTACTCTAAAATTCCGCGAAAACGTCTGAAACAGTGTTTTGAAAACCCCTTGCAATTTTAAAGAAAAATCTTAACTGAATTTTTAATAATGTGAAAATACATATGTGCATACCAAAATTCTGACAGCTGTCTATTATTCAGTTATATTTATATGCAAAATATATTGATCAAAATACACGTATGTAACTGTAAATGCCAAAAAAAAAAAAAAAAAAAAAAAAAAAAAAAAACAACCAAAAAAAAAAAAAAATTCGTTTAATATATAAATTATTATAAATTGTTATATATAGAATTTAAAAAAAATGTATACTTTTAACACTCAATAAATGTTAGTTTGGTCATAAGATATGCAAACATGGTGACTTAAAAAGTACCAATGCACTGTCCCGTGGTATCTTTTGCAATTTTGTGGAATATATCTTTTCAGTATATATATTTTTGTATATGTATACCTCTGGCTTTTTTGCATTATGCTACACGGTGGTACTTGTTTATACTTTACAATGTGTATTTTAAATTTTACATGTGAGCAATTATCTCAACTTATGAACCATGTGTAAATTGACTAAGTAAATGTATTACGAATATGCTGAATATTACTATTATCACATTTTGTGAATAGTGAGTAAGTAAATTTATTATAGTGACATGTGTATTATACAGTAATACAGTGTATTTTACAACAATATACTTAGATTTTTACACCCGGCCCAAAGGACTTATATGTCACTGTTAATATTTTAACAATATACAAAGTATATATACAGGCACATAAATGAAGATAAATTATATTAGAATGTTCTTTTTGTAAAGTTCTGACGAGTTTTAAAAGCATCGAATATAAAATAATTATTATACTTATATGGTCTGTTTAATAATCATGCTCAATAAATATGCTCAAAAGGGCCCTGATTTGGAATAATATATATATATATATAGAGAGAGAGAGAGAGAGAGAGAGAGAGAGAGAGAGGTACGTGGTCTGCTAAATCATTGTTTATATTGTGTAGATGTGTACATTTTAAGCTGTCAACTGAAAAAAGGCATGTACAACAGAGGCATAAATATTAGAAATATTTCCTGCACTTTTTAAATGATGAATGGGGGGTACCCTAGCTAAGGTATTTAGCTGTTTACTTCACCCAGGGGCATATTATAATGTATAGGTCCCTGCTTCACCGTGGTCTTCAAACGTGTATGTGCTCCCTTTAATGATATGGTCTAGACGAAAACGGGTTAAACAAATGCGTGTTAGCTTTGCTTTGGAGACAGGATGATATTTTTTTTTTTTTTTTTTTTTTTTTTTTTTTTTTTTTTTGCTCCTTGAAACCAACGTACATTAACGAAGTTTTTATTTATTTGTATTCAAATGATGAATTGCATGAGAGAAATCCGCCAAGATGAGAATCTTGCAATATTATTATGTACAAGAATTCGAGTTAAACATCTTGTTTTTCTCCACTCCTTTTATTGAATAGAGCCCCCTTCCCCCTCCTTCCAAAAATACTAGTAAATGCATGGATAAAATAAAATCACATTAATTTAAAAACAACAACAACGGAATCATGAATAAAAGAAGCTTGTTATTAAAGAAGGGCAAAGGCCAGGGGAATTTGAAATATATAAATGATTTAATTAATTTCGTTTTAAATATGTAAACGAACTGTACGTAAAACGCTTGAATATAACAATGAAAGAGTGTTTATATTTTTCCTAATGACTTTAACTTTTATTTCAATATTCGTTAAATCTCATTGTCAATGTGCTGTTTTACGTAGAAAAACTTGACAACCTAACCAGACTTAACCTTTAACTATTTTAATCATTTTTTCTTTTCAGTAATTAAAATTATTTTGGGGGGAAAGTTGAATAACTGAAAATAATGCAATTTTTCCCGAATTAAATTTAATATTACTGTGACGTCGCAGTAAGTGACGTAAAGAACGTTAACTTTGATATGAATGAAGATTAAACTTTTCGAAAATGACTGATTTACAAGTTTGTAGTGTTTATGACATGGATCCCCAGACCCAACTTCACGAAATGCGCTTGCAAGGGATATTTTGTGACGCATACATTAAGATTCCGGATGAAAACACCCGTTTGCCTGTGCATAGAAACGTCATGGCAAGTTGCAGTCATTATTTCAGATCACTGTTCACGTCCGGACTAAAGGAATCGGAACAAAATGAAATTTCCATTTATGGTGTGTCGGCAAATATTATGAACCAAATCATCCAGTATGCCTATATTAGGAAGGCTATTATAACCCCAGATAACGTAGAAGATCTTTTAGCAGCGTCTGATAGATTTCATGTTTTTGGACTTTTAAAAGAATGTACCAACTACCTTTATGAACAGATATCTCCTGAGAATTGCATAGGAATATTCAAATTTTCTCGCTTCTATAATTGTCAACATCTTTCGCGAAAAGCTTGGGAATACATCGTGCGAAATTTCAAAGATATTGTTGAAAAGAGTCAAGAGTATTTACAGTTGCATGTCGACGACTTGAAAGAGATATTAAATGACGACGACCTTTCTGTGTGTAACGAAAGCGAAGTATTTCTGGCAATTCAAAGATGGATCGATTACGAACAAAGAGACAGAAGAGACAAATATCCAGAGCTTCTAAAATCAATGCGATTTTGCTTCGTTAATGTCGATTTCTTCCAAACCAAAATTCAAAGAAACAAAACGCTTGTAAATCTAAGAGATTGCAAGAAACTCATCAATCGGGTGTCTAACCTAATGAGGATCTTCTACGAGAGCCCCTTTATCGTGGACGACGATAATATCTTACTGCGACCCCGAGTACCCCCCGAAATAATCTTCACAGTGGGGGGCTGGTCCAGCACTGGGGTTGTGGACTCAATTGAAGCCTACGACAAGAACGTTGACAGATGGTACGTTACCAAGCAATGTATGCCGTGCTCGCGCGCCTATCACGGCACGGTGTTTATGAACGGACGGATTTTCATTGTAGGGGGATTTGACGGGACCCAGTATCTCAACAGTGTCTACTGCTTCTCCCCTGACGAGAAGACTTGGGAAGAGAGAGCTCCGATGTATATCATGAGATGTTACGTCAGTGCTGTTGAATTAAATGGTACAATACGCTGGGCGTAGGTACTGTAAGATATAAATATTGCATGTAGCTGAGTGTAACATTGAAAATTTTCACCCCAAGAAAATTTGAAAATTTTCTATGTTACACTCAACTACATGCAATATTAATTATATTATACTGAATGTTTTATACAAATACATTGAACCGTGCGCGCATAAATTCTGCGCAGTCACTATTTTTTGGAATATCACCCGTCGTCAAGCAATGTTGACTGTTGCTACGGTGGAGGGCGTGGCTTCATCATTCAGCGGGTAATAGTGTTTTTTAACAAATGTTTCTCGATGAATTAGATTCAACTAATTTACATGAAAGTATAATATTGTACAATAACAAGGCTATAGAAATTATTAATCCAAAAAGAAATTATATTATATAATAAAATCAATTTATACGTCGAAGTCGAAACTCGGAGAAGAGATGTTTTTGTAAAAAAAAAGTATTGCAACTTTGTAGGTATAATATATGCCTGTGGTGGTTTTGACGGACGGAATCGACAAGACTCTGTAGAGAAATACAACCCAATAAAGAACCAGTGGACCCACGTACAGCCGATGTGGAGGAAACGCAGCGACGCCGGGGCTACGGCTCTTGATGGTTAAAGTTATTGTTATATACCTGAAAACTAAACTAAATTGCTTAATTTGGCATGAGCAAGGTGACAACGTCAAATTTTAGCTATCGTCCTCTATGCCTTGCATGGTTATTATGTTTGGAAAGTAGGGGAGGCTAGCAGAAATTATTTACTAAGACCTAGATGCAGCGTCACCGATCTTGCAAAAGCTTTTTGGCTAGAGTTATGCATGGGTCGTGTTGCGTTTCATAACTTTTTATTCTGACCATCCCTCTTAATTCTTGATTTTAGTTCATTTGATTGGAAAAAAAGATGCACATTGAAGATTAATTTGCATGCGTTTTTAGTTTGTGTGATGGACATGAATTATAGGCAGGCATTTCGCCATTCTCTTTTCATCCCTTTCCCTTGATCGAGTATTAGCAGATCATGTCACCCATTAGAATTCTGTAAAATTTTTGGATGGAAAAACAAAATTCGACTTAAAAAAATTAAAGTGTTCAGTTTGTGATTTTGGTTCATCAACGTTGCAACATTTATTAATATTATCAGTATTTATTTTTCAATGCTACTCCCTGCTCTTTTAAAAATATTTCCTTGCAATCAGTTCTACTACATTTCAGGTAAGATTTACATTGCTGGCGGCTTTGACGGCGCGTCGTGTTTGGATTCTGCCGAGTATTACGACCCCACTGTAAACCAATGGACAATGCTGCCAGATATGACGTCACGCAGAAGTGGCGTGGTTTTGGTGGCATTGCAGAAAGAACTCATTGCACTGGGGGGATACAATGGGAGTGACCGACTTTCGACAGGTACCTAAATTGTACAAGATTTTCTGAAACGGCATCATTTACTGCGAGCATGGCACACAGGCAAAAACATTTTTGTAGTCCAGTATAGATTTGAAAACAGATGTAAATCTGCAAATTGCATTTTACTAACATTTGTAGGAATTTTTTTCAACATAAGAAATATAAATAATGATAATACATTTTACTTTCACCAGTTGAGCGATACAGTTGGGCAACTCGCTCTTGGTTCCCCATGGGTTCTATGATACAGGGTCGCAGTAACTTTGCAGCCGTGGTAATGAATGGGAAAATAGTGGTTATCGGAGGATATGACGGTAAGTTGTCGGCTACCAGAGACGTAATGAGCGTGGCGGTAAGACATGATATATATAATGACGTACACTGGTCAGATTACGCTGACATGCCAAGTATAGGCCTGAATTTTTAAATTTTAGTGATTACGTGAATCTTTTACATTTATTCATACTGGGCATCAAAGAAAAAAAAAGATCGAGGGCCATTTCGTTTTAGGCATAAACTTATCAAAAGGACTATTAACCATTTTGGATATTAAATGTATGTCATGTATTTTGTAAGAGAAATTAAAAAAGAAAAAATATATATTAACATCAAAATTACATGAGTATTATTTATACATTTGTGCAGTGATTGGTTATGAGAAGAGTAAAACTTTCAGCCTCACTTCGAGGCTGCTGGTGCTAGCTAGACAAACAAGAAATGATTTCTCTTTGTCTCTGTTGCATTTAACATGCTTTGCTTTAGATTTTGCAACAAAAAATACACAAATATGAAATTGTTGTATTTAAATCTTAGGTTCCACAACATCCCCAAACGCAGAGGAGTATGACCCCACTAAAAAGGCTTGGAGGAGACTGTATCCTCTGAACTACGGAAGGAGTGCCGTCAGCGCATGCCTGGTGTCTCAGATCAGAAGTGGGCGTGGCTTTACTTATCACGGACTGGCTAGCGTTGACAATTTATAAATCATAAACTGAATGCCATATTTGGTCAGAATGTTACCATTTAAATACAATTTTCTTAGCAGGATTTTCTGTCAAAATAGAATTCTGAATTATGTAATAAAATACATCAATACCTCAGTGTATCTTTAAATTACAAGACATTGAATTTGACAGTGTGTTTAATTTTATTCAGTACATGTATACTGGTAACTCTGGGGAAGAAGCCCACATGTCATGAGATATTGATATGATGTGCCGTAAAAAGACCTATAGAATGCAATGCTCACCTAAGAAAAATTCCCTTTCTGATATGAATATTTATCTATAGATGATAAAACTCTCACTGTGGTCACCAAATAAAGTCCATGATTTCAAGAAATTGAATTTATGGTATTACTGAGGGTACAGTTTGAATTTATGGTATCATTGAGGTTACAAATTTCAGTTAGTTTGTTCTTGTGAAAGCTCTCCATTTCAAGATCAGTCCTTGCCCTGGGGACCATGATTGGAAGAAAATACATTTACACAAAATGGAATGCTTATTAATCAAGGACATTGCTACTCATAAAAAGCTTTTTTCAATTTTTACCATGATTGGAAGAAAATACATTTACACAAAATGGAATGCTTATTAATCAAGGACATTGCTACTCATAAAAAGCTTCTTTTTTTTTCAATTTCCCCCTCCCCGTATGTATTTCTATGTAAAATTTACTTTTTACTTTACTGCATTCTATCCCCAAGGGGCCCTGTTTCAACAAAACTGATTTTATGCTGCATGGAAGTGCTTGTACATATATATAAAATACATGTATGGCTAATTGTGGCCTTGCGGCTTCTGAGAAACAAGATTTTTCCTACAATATAAGACAATTTATAATTTGCATCCTTTCTGTTGTGGCACCATTCTAACCTGAAAGGAGGGCTACAATTTAAATCACTTTCAATCTACCCTAATTGTTCCTTATAAGAGGCTCTCTAATGATTTTTACAATATATTTCCTTGTAAATATTTTATTCCCTATTGCAGTCCCATTCCTTCACCAAAGTTGAATTCACACTACATGAGGATGAATAATTATGGCCCTGCTGTTCCCGACAAGGAATTTTATAGATTTTTCCCTTTATAATCCTACATAAAACATTGATTTTTCCCTCCCCCTATTGTGGGCCTACTTTAGTTTCAGAAGCCATGAAAAAAGGAATTCACACAATTTTTTTTCTGCCCCAGTGATTCTAAATGACAGAAACTTACATTCAACATTCCTTATTTATCTCCCCTTTATGTTCCCATCAGTTTGAATCTTTGTAGCAAGTTTGGTTGGAATTAGCATAATATTATTGGAAAAGGAGTTGAAACTGTGAAAAGTTTACAGACAGCAGATGGATGCTGGACACTCTTTGATCAGAAAATTCACCTGAACCTTTGGCTCAGGTAAAGGCTCAGGTGAGCTAATAATAAAAACAAAAGGGCTTAAGAAGTCCTTAACCACACAAAGACATATCTTCTTACTGAACGTAAACAATTTAACAATTCAAGAGCACGTAGCTGTCATTTTCAAAAGGTCAATTTCAGATAATCAACAACTTTTTCTTGTCAATGAACAAATAACAAATATACTCTTAATGTGTAACAATATGATAAATGAAAATCTGGCACCAAATCATCAACAAAATATATATCTAAACTGATAACAAACAATAAATCCATTGCACTAGTTTGAAATCAGATGTACATATTGTACTGCATCACAACCACATTTATGTACATATAATGATGAAATGAAGTGTGATTTAAAAAAAAATTATTCTCCTTTGGAAATGGCAATTTTAAAACAGGGAAATCATAATAATAGTAGTACAGAGGGAGAATTGACAACCTTTATGGGAACAATTTAAAGATCAATCAAAGCCTCGAGACAGTAGAGGTCCATACCATAGGACGTGTGACTTGTATTCTCTTTGAAATATGCATTTGAAATATAGAATATTTATAAATTATACACCAACTAAACACCTGAGTATATGATTCAGTTAAATTTGATAAAATACTTCAGTTAATATTATACAGGTTTAAAATAATATCACAAAGAGTAAAGCCAATACTGGTAATGTTCACATAGGAGTATTGTTAAAATATTGCAGAAAACAGAGTCATAAACCTCTATCAATTGGAAATTCTTGTGTTGTTTAAATTATGATGTTGAATAGAATACCCATCAATATTCAAAATACACAATACAGAAAAAATACTGTTTAAAGACTATCAAGCAGTTGAATGTAGACATCAGTAATTTCCCTTCGTTTTGAGTCACCATGGCTGTGATCAATGCTGTTTCTTCACAACTTCGGGGCACTTCTGTCATTAGTTACAGTTTTCTTTAGCTTAGTCCCCGACCTTATATCACCGAGCAAGGCAGCCCTCCCAGCTGACCCTCCTGATGATGCTGGGGGTGGTGGTGGAGGTACCGGGGCTTGAGGAGGGGGAGGTGGTGGTGGTCCTCCAGGGCTGGTGGGTGGAGGAGGTGGGGGTGGTGGTGGAGGGACCCCCACAGGGGGGCCACCAGGGGGAGGGGGTGAGGGAGGTCTAGATCCTCCACTGTGAAGCATGGTTTTGGAATCTGTTCTCTCCATTCTGACTGAGGAGGTTGTCCTCTTCAATTTCTTTCTGTGAATTGAAAGGGATAATATTACAGCATTGTCACAAAAAGATTTGCATGAACAAGTTAAAAAAAAAGCATGTTCATATATTCACAAAGCAAAAAATCTTGCAAATATCCATTATTAGTCCCCTACCGGTGAAACCGGAGGGGACTATAGGTTTCCTCGGAGTCTGTCCGTCCGTCTGTCTGTCCGTCTGTCTGTCAGTCTGTCCCACTTGGTTTTCCGCACTTTTTTTCTAAACGCTTACAGATATTGAGCTGATTTTTGGTATGTGAGTGTATATTGATAAGTTACAGATCAAGTTTGAATTTCGTTCCGCTTCATTGATTTTTGAGGGAATTACGGCCCTTTAATTTTCAAGGGTTTTCCACACTTTTTGTCTAAACGCTTGCGGATATTGAGCTGATTTTTGGTATGTAAGTGTATCTTGATGAGTTACAAATTAAGTTTATGCTACGTTCCGCTTCAATGATTTTTTTGACGGAATTACAACATTTTAAATTTTGATGGGAACCAGATTACACTTACCGGTAGGGGACTAGTATTGCTAATGCAATACTCTCAGAATGCTTGTTTTTATTTCTTAATATCTTTTTTTTTTCTCTCAGCAGTCTTGAAGTTTAACTAGAGAGTAAAACATGCTTATAGCAAAGTGACAGGGACCAACGAGTTTGCTTCATTATAAATGTACATATCCATTATATCCATTCAGTTCACCATTCAGTTCATATCCATTCAGTTCACAACAGGTTTAAAAACTACAAGGAATGAAAATCACTACACTAAAATTCATTATAAGCATGTTTGCTATAACCATGTTTTACTGTATGTGCATTTGATTGAGAAAGCTCAACATTTAGAGGGTATCATCTTCTAAACATCTCAAGATAATTATAGCTGCATTATAATATAAAAAAGCTTTGATGGATAGACAAAAAGGTACAGTGATTTCTATATCAGGTTACTCACATCTTCTTTCCAGAGCTGACAGCTTTGATTGCTTTCTTCATTTCTTTAGATAAATGAATCTACAAAAATACACTGTATAAGGTGGAAGATGTTCACAAAATGAAACCTTAAAACTCAGTCTGTAGTATTTTTTTTTTCAATACCTTGACTTACTGCTAATTAAAATAGTTAAAGTATTTATTAACACGTACATTCTAAAATCTTTGAACTTTGAATTTAACTTAATTAAATGAATACATCAGAATTTTGAAAAAAATAAGATATACAAACCTTTGCAGGATTAAATTTATCTATCTCCATTAACTTCACTGCTTTGAAGAAGCTCAGCTCCAATATCTACACAAAACATAAAAGATCAAAGTGATAGAGCTTGTGTGTGATTGGTTATAATTAATACACAAAACATAACAGATCAAAGTCAGAGAACTCGTGTGTGATTGGTTATAATTGATACACAAAACATTTTAATTTTTCATAATAACCCTGAATAAATCAATTAAGTGCAAAAAGAGTCTGACAATTTTTTATTTAATCAATTTTTAACATTCTCCCTTTAAATGTCATATATCTTTTTTTCTATCATCTAATTCATTTTTGAATACTATTTAATGAAATATATTATTTTAAAAATGCTCTACAAAACATTGGACAAAAGCAATAGAATATAATGTGCATAAAATGTTGCCTTAGTCGGATTACCATTTTCAATGAAGGGTATCTGCCCCCTGTGTCCACTCCAAAGATAAAATTCAGCACCTGAAATATAAAAATATTTGCTTTCATAAGATCATCAAAGAAAACATATATATAGGTACTCATCTCAAGGGCTGGCTCAATTTATTGGTTAACAAAAGATACAGGTAATTCCTTTTAATACTGTATACTTAGCGGAAATTGATTTCCAACAAGTTAGTGAAGATTTGATCAGCTCCTTCTGGACATGCTAATTTAAATATGAATTTAAACAATAAAATGCATTAATTCCCATACTAACAACCAACGATTGGTATATTATCTGTATAAAAAACTTGGTTGAATATTTTATTATTGATATGCATGAGCTTGTATGTTTCATTGATGCAGATGGAATAGCCGCTGCTTCAGAAATCTCTGTAAGTGATTTGCTAAACAGCATTTACCGGTACTGACAGATTACCAGCAATGGTTTTCATAAGAAATAAAGGAGCTGATGATATTCAGTGGATGTAAATATATATACACTCATAAAAGACATTTAGTCCTGTACTTTATTTAGGGGAAGCTGCTTTCTGCCAAAAGTGCTAAATAGAGTACACCGCCAAATATGATATGTATACAGTGTATCCTTCCTTACTCAATTATGACAAAACAAAGACGACAAAAACCTTTTTTTTCATAAATTATTTTTTTTATTCAAATACTTAAAAACAATCAAACATTAATAAATAAATTAGAAGCACTATATCAGAGAAACAGAGAAATAAAGTAAAAATAAACATCATAGCACTTATACATGTATTTCAATCAAAGCCACCAATCTATATAAAGCACTATATATCAACTTATATACACAACTTAAATTCACACAACACTGAGCACTGGATCCTCACTAAGCACTAATTGCACCTTTCCTTTCTTCACCTTTTTTCTTTTGAGAATTTCACTGTTTCACAAACACAATCATCAGAAGCATGGCACACTCTTGTTGACACTGGACACCTTCCTCTTGTTGACCCCTGATGACCTCCGGCTCCTGTTCCTCTTGTTGGAGAACCACTTCTTGACCTGCTCCTCCTTGATCCCTCCTTTCCTGGCCAGCTCCTCGATGACGTCGGACGATGGGTAGGGATGCTCTCGATGACTGTAGAACCACTTCTCCATCAGCTGAACAGACTTCTGGGATAGCGATGGTCTGGTGCGGAAGTTGCTGATCTGGCTGTCGGGCTGTGTGGTGGTAGTTGTGGTGTTGATGGGTGATGGCTGGGGTAGATTCTCCTCCAGGATCTGTAGGCTGTTCTCCACACGGTCCATGATGCGATGATGGGTGATGTTGTAGTGTTGGTTGATGCTTTCTCTGATGTGATGTGGCTGGTTGGAGTTCTGATGAAGGGCACAGTAGCGGTCTGTCTCCACTTGGGCACTCTGGTACTTGAAGAATGAAGACAAGTCGTTGATCTGCTGAGGGTGATGGTGATGGAGGTTGTTGAATCTCTGAAGAAGCTGTTGTTCACGTTGGGAAGTAGACATCTCTGGCTGAACAGACTTGATGAGCACTGATGGTGTAGATGACTTGGCTTCGTAGCGGAAGATGGTCTGGAGGGCACTGAAGATTTCTGTGGAGGAGATGGTGTTGTCGTCACAGATCTTCTCTGGTGTTGAAGGATGAAGACACTGAAGAGCTAGCTGGAGATCGTTGTCTGCGGATTTCTCTGGTGTGGGATGATCACTGATGAGGGAATCCAGGCACTCATCGAATCTGGCCTCTGCTGCACTGGTGTTGAGGGTGGTCTGGACAGAGGTGCTGGAAGGTTGTGGTGAAGGCGGGGCATCGTCAAAGATGGTGGCCTTGATGACATCCTCTAAGGTAGTAGCGAAGTTGATCTCAATGACTGGGGAAGAAGCACAAGAAGCCATCACGACACACTGAAAGCACTGCACAACACTGAAACACTGCAAAACACTGAAACACTGAAAAACACTAAAATGATACACAACACTAAAAAATGAAGTATTTCACTAAAGCACTACATAACACACAAAAGGCTGAGAATATTACCACACTGGGATTAATTTAATTGTTGCACAGAGTACAATTGATTAATCAGAATGCAAGCTTTCACGTTCTAGATTTATGATAGCCTAGATTGGATCACAGTGGTGAATTGTCAACACTGAATTCTGCAGGCCTATTTGTACCCCCAAATTCTGCTAGAAATCAGCTTGGACTGCTGAATTAAATTTTCATTGGCTGACAGTATATCCCCTTTTCTATGATTGGTTAATGAATCCAAAGCTGATTACTGATTGGTTTATTTACAGTCTTAACACTTCCTTTTAATTAAGCAGGTCAATTAGCTTGGGTCATTAAGGGGATGGTTGGTGAGGTGTCCTTGTGCTGGTAGGATCAAAGTGATAAGGTAGTCTGTGATGGGTCATAATTAATACACAAAAGATAACAGATCAAAGAGAAAAGATCATCATGATTTATAATAATTGACCAATAATAGGTAACAGACCACCTCTACAGAATTATCAAAGTGAGATGCTGACCAATGATGGTAATAATTGATCAATAATAGATCTAATGATTTTAATGTGTTGAAATTTGATCAACCATCAATAATAAAAATGATTTGAAAACAGTACATTTACTTAAAATATTGAATGAAATTGAATTTTTTAGAACATGATACAGAATATGAGAGTTCAAATTGATTTTTTAAAAAGATTCATTCATTCTTTATTTCCCTCATTTGAGGATTATTTGAAAACATTAAATTTACATGACTGTAAGCATACACACATAATAAATATATTGAACAGATAAATACAAAACACAATATAACTTGCAAATAAATGGCAAAACGAGCAGGATGGAAGGGGAAAAAATAAAAAAAAATAAAGTAAAATACTAAATAAATAGTATTGATACATTTACAAAATTGTGAGAGTGGTGGCCTGACAAATTTGCTACTTGAATTGAAGGGCCCAGTTGTAAACCTGGCAACATTTTGCTTGTATTGAAAGTTGATCATATTAAGTTGCTGTAGATCTTTTCCGGATAGTAAATGAACGGAATTACATCCAAGAAGAAAAACAAATATCTCGTCATCTGTCATTGCACAAATTTCTGCAGAGAGGTGGACATCAAAGTTATTGGAAATTAAATGTCATCCCACCAACAGCTATGTGTAAATCTGATTTTAGCCAGCAAGACCAGGTGATGTACATAAAAATATCTAGAAAGATTTCACCACAGAATCTGCAGATATCTGGAGTTTGTTCAGGGGGACTTGCTGCTATGAGTTTACAAATAAATTTACATAACAGGATTTCGTACGATTTTGAAGGAACTAACCAAATGAAACAGGTTCTTATTTTGGGTTATAGACAGAAAACAGTAAAAATCACTGTTGTTTCATATTCTATTGTTTCGTTGTGTTTTATGTTGTTTAGACACTGAAGATCTCACAATCTTTTTCCAGAATTGTTTAGCTGGAAATGAAGTTCAACCATTTATGAGCCAGGTTTGCAGGTATTCAGTAAGGTTATAGGTAGAAAAACTGTGATATCATCAGGTATGAAACCAACAACTGGAAAGTCCTCCAAAATGAATACTGTGAACGTACTTTATTCCAGGGGGTCATAATTCCATGGAATCACAATTTCTGTTCAATCCGCGAGTATAAAATTACGCTGATTTCTTAGATTGTCATTACATATCCTGAATGAATCTTAAGTACGCTGTGACAAAATCCGCGGAAAAATTGTGACCGCGTACATAGCGTAAATTAATCCCACTCGGAAAATTGTACATTTGCAGTATATAAAACGTGTCAGGAAGACCTTCTTTGAGAGAGAGCGATGATCCATGAAACAGTCACCCGAGAAAAAGCAGTTTACAGACGTCTTATCTCTGATTTAATAGGTAGAACATTGAAAAGACTCTCACAGATATCAGATCTTGTCTTTGTAGGAAGGCTCTGAGCATTTTTACATATATAATGTTGAAAAATATTCAGGCATTGGTAATCAGTTGTAGAAAGGTTTTTCCATAGCTCACAAACATAGAGGACTGTGGGCAGTACAACTGACTTATAAAGATGTGATAAGGCGGGCAGATTAAGGTATATAGATCCAATATTGTTAAGTGCATAATATGATTTATGCCCTTTGTGACATGCTGACAGAATTCTATCCGAAAGGTTGAGTTTGTTGTTGATAATGATCCGTAGGTGATTATATATTTTGGAGCAAGGAACTGTGGTGTCACCAAGTTTCCAAATGCAATCTTGATCAATTTTGGAACCTTTGGTACCGAATTGTAATATACATGATTTTAGAGTATTGAAGGAAAAGTGCCATTTTCTAGAATGTTCATATGAAATATCAAGCATATTTTGTAGGGCAGCTGGGGTTATTTCAATGCAAGCAATATCATCTGCTAATGTGGGGGAATTACTAGTTGTGCCAAATGTGCCGGCATTTATGTTAGATTTCTTCGAGATTGACAACAAGTTCATTAATGTACACAAGATATAAGAAGAATGACAAAACCCCATCTTATTGTACTCCTTGTAGAACTGGAAACCAGTTAGATTGCTTTTGATTAACAACGATTGCACTAGATGTATCTGTATGACAATCATTCATAATGGACCAAAGTCTACCCGCAATAATTCATGCAATTTAACAAGGAGACCATGTCTCCATACCGTGTCGATTGAATGATTGATTGTATTTTGTTTAATGCCCCTCTCAAGAATTTTTCACTCATATGGAGACGCCACCACTTGCCAGTGGAGAGCTGCAAATTTTGTCCTATACTCGGCACTTAAGGCCATTGAGCAGTGAGGGATCTTTTTTGTGCCGGCACCTACTGTGACACGGGACGTCAGTTTATGCAGTGTCATCCAAAGGACCGGTCTCCATGTCCAACAGTGGGATTCAAACCAGCGACCTAAGGATCAACTCCTTACTTTGCGACTCTAGAGCAGACATTCTAACCACTGTGCCACACGGGCGACCCATACCATGTCGAAAGCTTTCAAACTGTC